TCTACAACATAGTGTTATTACTGGTGATTCTAGACTGCTTTCTCTTGAACCTTGACATACCATTTCCTCACAACATTGGCAGAAGGTAGTGCATGCATGGTAAAGGAAAACAGCCTGTGTCCTGACATAATATAGTAGATACCCTAGGTTCTTTCACAGAGGAGCAAGTTATAATTGACTCCCTGGAAAAAGACTCATGAAATGAAGTAGTCCAGGCAAAGGAGACCATGATCTTAGTTGTCCCACATACAGTATAATCACAATTCATATTGGTGTTGTTTTCTATTTTCTGCTGGAAGTGAGGGCCAAGAGGGGTGTGTGTGTGTGTGTGTGTGTGTGTGTGTGTGTGTGTGTGTGTGTGTGTATTTTCCTAGGTTCAACTGGGGTGGGATAGAGCATGTGGAGACTGCTTCTGTGGACTGATGGAAGGGGAAGTATTCCAGTCTGGGCTGTATGTTGGGCTGCCAGGCCCTTACCCAAGGAGGCTAACTAGTAGCCAAGACACCTTAGGAAATTGAGCACCATGATGAGCAGTTATTTACCCATCTGGCGCCTTTCTTAATAGCATAATGCATTAAGCCCATGCCTCATAACATCCTACTGAAAAAAGGAAGTGGCAGATAGTGTTAAACGTTACTGGGTAATCATGGAGAAACTGAAGCATAGATAGGTTTATGGGGCTTGAGCAGAGTTACACAATGCCTTAGTGTCTGGCCTGGGAATGAAGCCCGAGTTTGCCGCTTGCTGTCAGGACTGCCGACAGCATTGTGTTTCGCATTGTACAGCAGTGAAAAGGGCTTACTCTTCACAATGCAAGAGCTTCTGTAGGAGACAAACACAATGAACTTTAGTACAGTATAGTCTAGAGGCCAAAATGAGTAATTTTAAGTAAATTGACTATAAGATCCAAAGCTTCATTAAGTTTTTAAAAACAAAAAACAAGTGAAAACTTTGTAAAATGTTAGGAACTGACTTAAAAAAAAAAAAAAGAATATTTTTCCCCCATTTGAAGTGGCATACTCTTAAAAGTTTTATTTTGTTGGCTCACAGGCTGACACTTTTTCTGTTAACCATGTGATTTATTTATTTCTAATACATATTTTCAGGTTGTGTGATCTATTTAAAAGATTCTACTTTCTAATAATTATCAATTTAGCATTTAGTTTGTAAAATCCCTTATTTCCATAGCCCGAGTTTTGGGGGAAGACTATTATTTTATTCTGATTTCCATCAGATTTTTCCAAAACAGTTGTAACTACAGAGCATAGATTTTAGGAAAGCAGTAGGGCTGTGCAAAGGGCAATTGTGAGAATCAATCAATACATTCTGTGATTGGAACCATGAGGGAGAGATGACTTCACTGGAAAGAATATAAAAAGAAAGGTAGAATATCATTGCTAAATTATCTTATTTCAGAAGTGTCTTAGGTGCTCTGGAATAAACTAACAGGGGATGTAGATATTAGTGAGCTTAGATACTCTCTTAGTTATTTTCTTGTTGCTAGGACAAAATACCTGACATGCACAAGTTAAAAGAAGAAGGGTTTAGGGCCGGGGATTTAGCTCAGTAGTTTTGCCGCCTTTTGCGCAAGTGCAAGGACCTGAGTTTGATCCCCGGTACCACAAAACAAAAAAAGAAGAAGAAGAAGAAGGGTTTATTCACAGTTTGTAGAGGTTTCAGTCGTAGGCTGGTCCCACGGTAAGGCTTCTTGGTGAAAGGACATGGTAGAGAAGAAACACTTCATGGCGTAGCAGGTAGGAGCAGCCTTTTTTCTGCTTTCTTTTATTCCATCCAGGCTACAAGCCTGTTGGATGGTGCCTTTGACACCCAGGATGGGCCCTTCCATTATCTGCTCCCAGAACTGTGCTAAACCAATCAGTGAACTAATCCAGTTATCACACTCTTAATCCAGGATCACATATCCATGATTCAGCCACTTCCAAAACCTCATGAGCACATGAGGTTTAGTGGGGGACATCTAGATACAAGCCATAACAGATACAAAGTTTTTACACTAAATTAGAGCATGAAGATGAAATTGTGGAACTTTTGGCAAAAACATGCTGAGCATTGCTGATATATGAATAATTTAAACAATCAGTCACATAATTTCATTTTGTACTTAGGAGTTATAATAGTTTGGGCCAGGGTAGTTCGGTCAATCCCCCTTCACTCCAGGAGACAATCTAGTGGAATTCTGGCAGAGAAGCTGAGCAAGAATGAGGGTCTTCAGGGTAGGAATGAGGTCCTTACAGAGTTACCATATGGAGAACCAAAACAACCCAATAAGAGAAACTGTGTGTTGCCTGTTTTGGTTGAATGTGGAAGAACTCGCCTAAATGTGAAGAGCTGCTAGCCAGTGGCTATCTTCAACGGGATACATTTGTACATACATAAACCTGTCTTTGGGTAAAATTCTTTATCATGAGTCTGGGAGACTTATTTTTCATGGATAACAAATGTTTGTGAAAAGTTGAACAATATCAGCTAGCCCTCACATGAATCCAGGATGTGATATATTAGCATTTAGGAGGTTGTTTACAGTTGTGGTCATTAATCATGTAGGAGAAATCACAAAGGAACTAAATCGTGGCCAATGAAAAGTGACTAATATGAAGGGGTAGGAGGAATTGATATATGAAGGCAGACTGAAATAATTAGGACTCCTGAGGCTTGAAAAGACTGAGAGCAAGTGTGATAGGAGTGTAAAAAATCTATGAAGAATATGGATCATAAAAAATTGTTTGCCAGAATTTAGCAGAACCTCTGTGAAACTGAGGACAAGTGAATTTAGGACCAAGAAAAGCTCTAATTTACCAAGAAAGTAGAGCCTGTATATCAAAACCACTCTTGAGAATTAGGCTACCTTTTGGCATTGAAGTGAAGTGAAAAAGGCAAGGGTTTCTCTGATTTTGACACTATTTTCTTGAAGCATGGGGGGCCAGAGAGCATAGATTATGCCTCCTGTTAGCCTTTATATTTTATTTTCTTAGGTCAAACTTACATGTCATTCAAGCTTGACATCAATTGCTGAAGCAGACAAGGTCAGAGCAGACTGAACCACCCCTGAGGAAGGGGTGGTTAAGCAGAGACTTGCAAACTGATGAGGAACTGGCTAAGCCAGGAGATGAAGGAAGAAGGAATAGCATGGGAAAGTGCCTCAAGTAAGAGAAAGTCAGAATGACTGGGGAAGAGAGAGGGCAAGAGGCTGTTGGTTTGTCTGAAGCAGATCCTAGAGGACCTTGTAGACTGTGACAAGGATTTGGGCCCAAGAGGAGGGAGAAGTAACTGAAGTGGTGTAAGCAGATAAAATCAGACTTTATCTTAGTAAGAAATCATGGTGTGGAAGACAGGGAAAGAGTAAATTTGCAGGAACTTGTAGGAGAACATTGATGTTGTCTAGGTAATGATGGCCTGGGCTGCAGAGAAGCAGGGTGGATTCTTAGAGCTGTTTTAGAGATTGTATAGACTAGCCCAGTTGATTGGATATGAGAAATAATCAGACTTGATTTATGGAAGTGTGACCCCCAGTTATGACTCAGATTTTATCTGAATGAGAAGAATCTACACAAGCCCTTTGTAGGTTTCCTCTGTCATGATCTCCAGATGACCCAGAAATGAATAGGTCTGTGTTCTTTTTTCCTGGCTTACTCTTCTTTCTCTCTCTTTTTTTTTTTTTTTCTCTATGAATCATTTAGGGCCCAAATATTTCAGGCTCTACAAAGCTGGCACGTAGTTGACCCTCATTAAATGGATAAGTGGAAAGATCACTTTTTGAATGGCATCCTATCTTCCAGATTCCCTTGCCTTTACTCTTGCAGAGCAAACAGGTTTATGCAGTGAAGAAGCTACACTACAGTTCACAGTATCCAAGGTCAATTGACATGAAGCAGAATTTAGCAAAGCCCAAGAAGACAGTGATATGTACATAGTACATAGACTCCATTTAATGACTTTAAGTCTTTTATTTTTGGCTATGGATGATCATGTACACCTATAATCTCAGTTACTCAGGAGGCTGAGGCAGGGAGATTGCAAGTTCAAGCCCAGGATGGCCTGTCTTGCTAAATAAAATAAAATAAGGGGGTTGAAAGTGGTAGAGCATTTACCTAGCATGCATCAAGCCCTGGGTTTGATCCCCATCGCCACCAAAAACCTAAATCAAAACCAAAACACCACTTTTTAAAAATGAAATCAAAGAGTTGTAAGTCTAAAACAAAGAATATTCATATGGATTCTTTGCTCTGGTTCACCAGCCATTGTTAACATTTTCCTATGCTTGCTTTATGACACTCCTATAAAAGATTTAGAATTTTGCTAAGCCAGTTAATTTCAGACACCAAGACCCTTTACCTCATCAGTTCTTAAGCGTGTTTTCTCAGAACAGTGATTTTTTTTCCTTACATAACACAGTACAGTTATTTAATTCAGGAAATGTAACCTTATACAACACTGTTATCTAATGTGCAGTCTATATTCAGTCCTCACTGTTGTCCCGATACTGTCATTGATGGCACTTTTCCATCCTGATCAAGATCAAATCTAGGATACAATGAATTTTGTATTATATCTTCTTAATCTTCTTTAACCTGGAGTAGTTTCTTAGTCTTTCTTTGACTTTTAAGACATTGATATTATAGAAAATAGTTGTTTTCTAGAATTCTTTTTACTTTGGTTTTATCTGGTTTCCTCATGGTGAGGTCCATGGTATGCATTTTGGTAGGAATGCTGCGTGGTGCTAGTGTTGTCATATTCAGCATGTTACATCTGCCCCTGCAGGAAGAAGGGCAGTGGGGTAGACATGTCTTGTGACTGGAGATGGTAATTTTAATACTTGGTTAAGGTGGTGTCATCCATGTTTCTTCACTCAAAAAGTTACCATTTTCCTCCTTATAATCCATAGATTACTTGTCTCAATATTTATTTTAGTCATTTCAAATGTTACTAAGGTAGATCTCCACTGTCTTATTTAGAATCACATTTTTCCTCTCTTTCGGCAGTGTTTTAGAGCACTTTGCTGCAAGGGACCACCACCTGCACGACCAGAGTATGACCTGGTGTGCATAGGCCTCACAGGTTCTGGCAAGACCAGTCTGCTGTCAAAGCTGTGCAGTGAAAGCCCTGAGAATGTCGGGTCAACCACAGGTGAGTACCGTGCCAACCGTCTATCTCTTCCTCCTTCTCAGCCCCAGCTTTTCCTGTTTCCTATGCTTCTTATGTAACTATTCCCCTCCCTTCTATTTGTAGTGTCAGTCAGTGTATTAATTTTAATTTTAAATATTCTATATCTTTTTCAAAAAAGATTTGAGAAGGGCTTAAAAGCATTAAATTGCTATATCCCATATCCCTCTTGTTGATCATTTCATTGGCACAGAATAAGTCAAGAAAATATTAATTTGGACTAATCCTGAAGTCTGGAACCCTGTTTCTCTGGCAAAATGCATTCATGTCAGACCCACTGAATGCTTTCCTCCCTTGAAGTGTCACTCTAGGCTGCTTTTGTTTTTCACATGTTCCCTAAACAGCATCACTGGTATAGTCTGAATTTTCTTTCCTCATTTTTCACCTGGACAGTAGTCACTGCAAGAAAACATTGATCTGTTTTAGCATGTTGTTTTTTGTCTTTTAAAGAAAACTCAATCTGGGATAATAGTTTTCAATTAGGAGATTTTGTCCCTCTACCTGCCAGAGGCCATTTGGTAATATGTGGAGACATTTTGGCTGTCACAACTGAGAAAAGGTGATAATGGCTTCTAGTGGGTAGGGGCCAATAATAGTTCTAAACACCCTACAATGCACAGATCAACCTCCACAACAAAGAACGAAGCCCAGTACCAGGCCTGTTATCAATACCAAAGTTGTCAAAGCCTGTCCTAGATTTTTTGACACTCCTCAAATGCTTCCTTTTTCTCTTCTGGCAGTGATATAAGAAAGAAGAGTATACATTAGACAATAATGGAAAAATAGTTTTAGATGAGGAACACAGTTGCCATGGGAGGAGACCTGATGAGAAGTAGGGCAAGACATTTTGTGGGAAAGTTGAAAAGATTGTGTCTTTAGCCAGATTTTTGAGCACCTACTGTGTGCTAGGTCCAATCTTAGACACTGGGGATAAGCACTGATCCCAGTATTCCAGGGAACACAATCTCCTGGACATGTAGACATTCAGTTCATGTCTAGAAATATACAAAAGCAAGAGCATGGGGCAAGGGCAGGATGCATTATGAAGTTTTCTGCATTGTATCTGAAGTTTATTCATTAGACAGGCAAATAGAGAGGGACAAAAGACTTGAGTAGGAGAAGAAAGGATTTCAGGAAAGCTTGGATGAGGTGGAGAGGTGTGAAAGAGAGTGAGGCCTCTTGGGAACCACATTTCTGCATGACTGCAATGTATGTTCAGTAGAGTACCAGGAGTCAGGTTGTAAGAGAGGGATGATGGCTGCATCTTGGCAAAGTCTTTATATTGTTTTCAAAAATGTGAGCTTTCCTTGCAGATAATGGAGAGATATAAAGGTATTTTAAGCAGAAAAAGCATGCTTAGATGTTCCTTTGAGAAGGGTCAAGCAGGCCATGACCTGGAAGCTGAATTATGGGGCGCACTGTTGGAGGCAGAGTCAGAGGATGAATATAGTGGTCCAGCCCAGTTGATGAAGGCCTTAGTGAAGGCAGTAATAGAATGGAGAGGAGGAAATAGATAGGATTCATTATGTGAGGGCTAGAATTGACAGGACTTGGTGACTACTTGGGTTGGGAGGACAAAAGAGAAAGAAGTCAAGGATGAATCAACTCCTGATTTAGGTGATGGGTGTGTAATGAAATGATTCACCAGGATTTGATAACAAATAGGAAAAATATTGATGATCAAGAGCCTTATATCAGTTCGGGTAAGGTTTTGCCCCCAACTAAGTTAGAAAAAGTGTAAGATCTGAGAACTTTTCTGAGGATGAGCAGACAGCCCAAGTAAAGCCTGTTTGCATAAAGTCAGCCCTGATTATCTGCCTTTTTCCTGAGACAGAACTGAATCTCATTGTTTTTCCTCACTGGACTTGGTTCATATTTCTACCATTTAGTTTGTGTCACACTTCTTTGTTTTTAACACATATCTAGCTCCCATTCCTAATTTGTAAGCTCTTAAGGGCAGGTAGAGCATCTTACTTGGCATTGCATACACAGAGCCTGACACAAAATTTGGACATGCTTAGATATAGGTGTGTGTTAAATGAATAAGGAAATGAGTACATCGAATCTACATAGTCTTTTTACATAAAACATTCCCTGTAAGCCACAAAAAGCCTTAAGAATAAAAATCTTTTTTTATATTTTGTTTTTAAGTCATCTGAGGATCAAAGATATAGTGACATGCCCATTGTTATGCAGGTATGACAAAAGTAGGATGCCAGGTCAAGTCTTGAAATGAAGTTGAGTGTTAACTAAGGCTTAGCATTTCTGATGTACAGAATGTTGTACATACTTATTGGTTGTTTGCAAAATTGTGGATAGCTTTTGAGTGATGTGCTACAAAGCTATAAAAATTTTATTAGCTTAACTTAATAATTCTTGTCAGGCAAAGTAACTTCCAATATATGTATAAGAGTCTTTTTGGAGGTCTCTTTGGAAACCTCCTTGCTATAATGAGGTTTATACTGTGTTCAGAAGATATGTTTTCAAATGATAAGACAGTTCACATTTATTGACTGTTTATGTGAGGCCCTGTGCTATGCTAGTATATGATAAGTGCTATTCTCGATAGAATAAATATGAAAGTTAGAAAATGATTACTTCTAACTTGGGTATTAAAGAAGGCTTTTTAGTGAACATTACCTTTTAAAAGGGCCTCAGCAGTGAATAATGACGTGAGGAGAGTAGGATCAAAAAGCATAGGTAGGGCCAGGGATTTAGCTCAGTGGTTCTGCTGCCTGCCTTGCAAGCACAAGGACCCGAGTTCAGTCCCCAGTACCAAAAAAAAAAGCGTAGGTATTTTAGGGAAAAGTTGGTAGTCAAGGTACAGGATGCAGAGATGTAGAAACTGTTGCAGTGTAGAAAGGCTAGAGAATAGAGAACCTATTGAGAGAGACCTGTAATATGGAGAGGTGATCCATTAGGGGCAGTAATTGTGGGCATGTAGAGTTAAGAGGTACTTAAATTGATATTGTAAAAGTGACAGTCATATTAGGTGATGAAGAAGAAAGGAAAAGAATCAGTTATGACTGAAATTTCTAGCTTAGTGTTTGGGGCAGTTATAAAAAGCAGTAGGGAAAACATGACAGGCATTTATAAGGTAAAAAAAATGAGTCCAGTTTTGGACCATGCTAATTTAGAGATGTTCTTAGACATCCAAGAGTGATCCAAATACACAGAAAAGAAGCAGATTAGAGATTTTGGAGCTACAGATAGAGATTTGAGACAATCACTTGTTGATTTGGATGAGATTATTCAGATATAATGCTTAGAGAGAGGGAAGAGGATTCTAAATACCAACTATATTTCAATCATCATTTTCATATTTACTGAATGCCCACTATGTGACTGCCACTGATTTTGGCACTGATAATGCATCAGTTAACAACAAAACAGAAATCAGAAAAACAAATATTTTTGCCCTTTGGAGTTTATATTTCAGAATCTGCTTTTGATAAGGAATCTAATCCAGGCAGTTCTATATATAATATAAATCAATTATGGGCAAGAAAAAAAAGAAAGAACCAGAGCCAAATAATATAAATATAAGTCTGAAGTCTGAGAAATGACCAATGGATGTGGTAACAATATGGTCATTAATGACCAAGGGTAGAACAGTTTCAGTAGATTATTGGGGTAAAGCCAATCTCAGAAATGAGGGAATAATGATAAAGAAAAAGAGATTGAACTGTAGACCTGTCCTTTTTACTACTTGGCTATTTGACTAAGATTGCATATAGACTGTTCTTTCTAGAAGCTAGACCAAAGACAGAGAGGGAAGGCAGGAGGGAGGGAGGAGGAGAAAAGGAGGGAAGGGGGAGCAGGAAGGGTGAGAGCAAGAAAGAGAGAATGCTAGAGGTGTGTGTGTGTGTGTGTGCGTGTGTGTGTGTAGGGAATTTGTTCTTATAAGGAAAAGTCTCATGTGAGCATCTTTGCAGACGGAGGTGTGAAGGTGATTGTGTGGGGAGAAGGAAAGACAGGATGCCCAAGAGGACAGTGAATGCAAGAATGAGTCAGGACTTCTGATTCTAACTGGAACTGGTTTGGTCTCCCACTTGAAAGAAACAAAATAAGTTTTAAAAAACATGAAATGTGTAAAACAGTAGTTTTCAAAAAGTGAATGTCAAGCATCAAAGGCAGTCATTCATGAGAAATGAGAAACAAATGAAAGGAGCCCTACAGTAGCTGTAGCTTACTGCCTTTAGTTTCCAGGCCATGACACAGTTCTAGAATGCTCTGAGGTGGAGGTCAGGGAGCTCCTGCACTGGGAGATGGAGCTTAGAATCAAGGATACCAAAGCAGCTAGAGTTTACAGGACAGACCACAAGAGAAAATTGCTGCACAGAGAGAAAAACGGAGATCTTCAGAACATTTCCCTTGAATGTTCTGCAGTGTGGATAGTACATGCACATGAGGAAACTACCCAGAACCAGGGAAGAAAACATCTGAAAGGACTGGGGAGACAGTGCCTGGTCTTACACAGGCCTAAGAATTATGCCTGGACCCACCAAATGGAATGGGAAAAAAAATCATAATCCGCGAGGAATCATAGTAGTTAACCAAGGTGTTAGCTAAGGAATCTGCCCAGAGCTGAGTACTGCTCTGGACTCATGTAAGGTGTGTCACTTTAGCAAGTTGTTTAGGCTAAGCTGGTTTCTTGGTAGTTAATGTACCAGAGCTGTATAAGATTTACAGAAAAAAAAAATACCTAACACTCAACAAGGTAAAATTCATAATGATTGACATTCAATCCAAGATTGTTGGGCATAGGAAGAAGCAGAAAAACGTAAGTCATAATGAGGAAAAAACAATTTATAAAACATAATCATTCATTTGAAAATGACCCAAATCTGGCACATACATTACAGTTAACAAAGAAGGACGTTAAAACTATAATAATGGCTATTTCATCTACTTATAAAGATGAGATATGGAATATATATTTTTTAAAGACCCATATAAAACTT